GCCCCGGAGCACCGGCAAGTACGAACTTCCCCTCTCACCACTCTTGTTCCCGCATCAAAACATCCGTACGCAAACGCACGACTCCCCAACAAGTTTGCGAGCGGGACGGGTGCAGGAACGCAGCACTAACGCGCCTCCGTCGACCGCACAAGGCCACGAAGGGCCCGGCCGCGGACCCTGCCTTCGCCCCAGCGACGAGGCAGCGCGGCGCTGCTCCTCGCTTGGAGGAAAACGTTTCAGAGGAGCACAGCTACCTGCAATCAGCTACTAACGCACAGGATTTTTATTTCGGCTGGAACTCATTCCCACCCAAAGGCGTCTTCCTTCCCGCCTCGGGAGGCGTATCCCTCACCTTACGCCAACCCCAGCCAAAGCTGCCTTCCTACCCGCCTGGAAAGCGCTGCCGCAGCCTCCCCAAATTTCCCGAGCTCCTGACCGCGGGGCCAAGCCCTCGCAAGGGCGGCGGTGCCGAGAACGGGATGCCCACGGTACCCTGCCCAAAGCAAGCCTCCGGCAGTAGGCAGCGACCACACCGTCCTAAGAGGGTTACCCCAGAACCTGCCGAACTGTCACGTCCGGCCAGAAACGGCGAGACTTTCATAGACCATTAGAAAGGCACAGTTTAAGAGGAGGGGGTCTTACCATCTCTCGTTAGGGTTTCACTCCAGAACGAGTTCTTGGGTAAGCATACAACGACTCGTCATCTCTTCTTCCCCTTCTCCCTCTCCCCGCGTTCACAGGGCTCACGCGGGCCCATGCGATCACCAAGCTTGTCTAATCCGGCTTGTGGTTTTGGTGGGGGGAGAAGTAGTGAACCAAAAGCCTTGAGCAGAGATGAAATAGCTAGAACCTGACAGGACACACGATTAAACCTCTCCTGACTGGGGCAAGGCCCTCTCAGCGGCAGAGATCGTGCTGTCTGAACACATCCGTGCCTTTTAACATGAATAAATTAACAAGCGGGGGCTGAAAGTCTGATGCATGGAAGTTGCTCGCCTCCCTCAGGAAAGAGCAAAGCTATTTGCAGTTGCACTCGGGGCCAGGGATGGAGCACGCCGGCTGCCTTTTACGCAGCCGTCTCCTTTCCCCACAACTCCAAGTTATAATCGGAGCGCGGCACGCGAACAAGACCTAGCGCCCCGCTCGGGCTTTTCTGCACGCCACCCAGCGCAAGAGACCGATTTAGTCTGTCGCCTCAACAAAAGCAAGTATGCAGCTCTTAAAAAACTTCATTAAGCTTAATGAAGTTTTTTAAAACAGATATAAACATGAAAAAGAAAACTCACAGAAGAACTAGGTATCGCTACCACCTCAGGAAAAAACAGATTAGACAAATTAAGATATAACAGGATCAAATGCTAAGAGAGGCCTGCAGTAAAGGGACACGGTTTCAAGCTGCAGAGCTTGTCAAGCCTCAGCCTCCTCGGACTAGGCGGCAAAGCTGCAACGCGCTGTCTCACCCACCAAGGCCAGCAGGTCTCCTGCTTCTTCAGTTAGGGTCTCGGTCCGATCTTACCAAACGTTTAGATAATGCTCTTAATTCTTCTCCCGCTAGCCCCAGAAAGGGGAAGGGCCGTTCTCCGGACCAAGAGGGCAGAGGCAGAACGCGCACAGCCGCCGCGTTCGCGCCAGCAGCGAGCTGTGCGTCCCAAGGCGGAGGTTGGCGGGGAGAAGGTTAGAACAAGCCGAAAGACGCAGAGTAACAGGGGGCGGCCCACCGGTACCTTCGTTAGCGCGCGACCGCCTTTGCCTCAGCTCTGCACGCAGGAACTGACACGGTTGGGGTTTTTTTTCCCCCCCATGGTAGTTTAGTAAGTTTTAACTAGTAACCAAACCTAAAAGAGCTTGCTAGTATCTGCTGTAGTATGTCAAATAACTTCAGCCTCCTGAGTTGTGAAGCTAAAGCTCAAAGGACACCCCTTTGGGAGGCAACGATTTAAGCAATTTGTATTTTAAGACAATGTTATATAACACAATATAATGATTTTAGCAGTAACTAAAACTTCTCAGCACAAGAACTTCCCAGAGTGTGTAACGCACAGAACAAGGATGTTTGAAAATAATATTTTCGCGTTTGGTTTCAAAATAATTAACAAGCTTTCATGTTTCTCTGTTACTCCCACTCCTGCAATGCTACAATAGAAAATGCCACCATTAGAGGTGCCGTTAATTGAATATGATGATATACATCTGAACTGACTAAAACTCAATGTTTTGTGATCTCCTGACCCCCTTCCTTCCTACTGGTTTTTGCAATCTAATAAACCGTTGGCATGAAAAATTCTAAATTACGTTTTTCTGTATTACGGGGCGTCTGACACACTTCTGAACAATGCAAAGTGCCTTAAACAGACCAGAAAATCCTGTTGCGTACATTCATTCCCAACTCCATAGCTCTGGAGGCCCTGTTTGTTCAGATGAGTGATTATTACAGTTCTTTTCTACCGCCCACTTATGAGCCTTGATGAGCCCCAAGATCAAGGCAAGGGGACTTTATTCTGAAAGACACAGCCAAGTTGCCTCTCTAGGAGCAGGCAGTAGTCTCCTCTTTTACATAGCACAGGGGCCTGGACCAAAAAAAAAACAAAAACAAAAACAAAAAACAAACCCACTAGGTATCACTGGGGAAATAACACAGGAAGAGCTGAAGAAGTTAAATTGCCTACTGAGAAAGAAACATTATGAAAGACCCCCAAATCTCATGCCCCCTTTTTTCCCACCCAGTCAGGGAAGCAAGCACCTGTTTAAGCCTCTCTCTACTTGCTCTAAGTAGTTTCAGATAAAGTTATTAGCGCTAATAAATGTCAACTGAGCTAGTAAATATTAACATCGAGTAGACAGCTCCACACTTTACGTATATACACAGCCACCATGTTCACGCAGCAAGAAAGTAAGTAGGCCTTTGGATCGGAGGACAAATAAAAGCTTTACAGAAGCTTTCAAGTCTAAAGCCCACAAATAGTGTGGGCCTTAAGATGCTGACTTATCTGCCTAAAGATTCTCTGGTTTTGCCATTACCTGGGGTGGCAGTTACCAAATTTAGCGCAGTTCTAATATTGTGAGATGGAAAGCACAGTATAAATTTGAGAACAGTGTAATATTCACACACTTTGGACAGTGCTTTCTCCAAGAAGCCCAAGGCAGCCTACAAAACACTAACATAAATAATAGCATCTGCAAAGCAGTTATGCCAGCTTATTTTGCAGACTGAAGAACTGAACATAAAGTAAGCAAAAACACAAGAGAGAAAATTTGATCTCAATTTTTGCTCTTAAAATAAGTGTTTAGACTAAAAAACCAGCAACATCCAAGAAGTCTAGTTTTAGTAGGCCCAGCAATACTGCAATAAGCAAGAGTGCCCTGGGATGCTAAAGCAATGCAGCTTTTTGGTCTCGTGCATTAGACACTTACGTTCCACCTGAATACTGTCTGCATGGGGTTTGCTCTTTGGTTCCTGGCTCCCAGCTTTTCCATCATCATCATCGTCCAGCAGAGGAACATAGTCTGTTTTATCTACTGTTTCTCCAACCACATCATCAAATTTCTCCGCTTCCAGAGTGGCAATGAAGTCCCTTTTCACTTCTTCCTCAATCTCAGGAGGTGGCTCTGTCAGAGCATCCGCAAGACTGAGGTTGTGCTCCAAGTCAGCCATGCTTTAGCAACTTCGCAACCTAAAAAAGTGATTTGGGGAAGAAAAAGAAACAAAAATATATTTTAATAAGAGATCTTATAAGTTGCCTTGGAGTTTGATGCTGGCAACTGTGTTTGCTTCCTGTGCTGTACCACAGTAAGTAATATTTGCTTTAGCGCTCAGTAATTCCCAAACGTTTACCTAAACCGCACACCAGCACAGAAGCAAAAAACAAGCTAGTTCTCCTGAGTCAGGTTTTACTGCACAATCATTAGTTTTCACATGATGCTTCATCAGAAGAAAACAACAACAACAAACAAGCAGTGCATGGCTAGCATAAACACAATCTTGCACTGATTTCTGTCTTGCCCCAGAACTGCGAGTTAATTACATATCCGCAGAGAGACGAACGAGGCGAGGGAACCGAGCTCTGGGGCTGGGCTCCCCCCAGCCTCCCCTATGGAGATTAGGGCTTTACATAATCTGATGTATGCTTCAGGGCTGCTTTTGATCCCTTCGAGAGAGTCCTGTAGCACGCTTGTCCTCAGCAAACCTTGCTAATACCAACCACCCCGTTCCAGCCGTGGGATTTGTGCTGGGAGGTGAAGCCTTGCTAAATCAAATGCTTACACGAAGCAAAAACGTAGTGAAATACCCAAGTACAAATTATATACAATGTTATAAATTGGGAACATTTGGGGAAGGGGGGGGAGAGAGACAGGCAAAAAATACCTATCTTTCCTCCCTGATTTATATCCCAGCATTCAACTTAACTTCCTGGCACTGAACGCAAAGCGTACCTAAACTAATTCATCTGGTTTGAGCAAAAGCTCTGCAGAACCGTAAAGGAATACATCCCTAAACAATTATTTATTTCTTCAAACTTCATCCTTTAAAGAGTTATTAGGAACAGTGCCCAAATGCTGAAGTGAATTTAAGGACAACATAAAGAACAGAGCTGTGTAAGGAAGAAAAACCCACCGCTTCTGGTTGGCCAAAGATGCATTTCTGAAACTCTTGCAGACCAAGTTTTAGACAGTGCTCTCTATGCACGATAAAGATATCAAAAGCTCCATTCATACCCTTTAGCCATCTGCAGAGAATTATCAGATACAAACTGGAAAAACAAAAGTTTTAAAGGCCATTAGTATCTAAATCGGCCTCCCTACGACTCCTGGTACAACTCAGTTCCCTTTAATTTTGGTCCACGTTCAGAAGCGGAAAACAGTTTGATGCTCATCTGTGTTATACTATTAGATGCACAATCTGGGCAGAGAATTTCTCTTTAAATTAACGATTCACTCTCTTTTAGGAGTCCAGCAAGCCAGTGCAGAAAGGCCCATTTTGGAATCAACACACAAAAAGCACACGCAAGCGTAGTAGAGTTTAGAGTCCCAGCAACAGATTAATCTGAACAGGATACTCAAGCGCTCATCCACTTTGGCAAAGCGAGTAATCGTTTTACGGCCAATACCCATTGCATTGGGCAAGAACCACCAAGCACAGGGAAAAACAACCGAAATAAAGCCGACGATACAGAACTGCATACGCGAAGAGGAACAGGCCCACCCACCAGAACACACAATGGATTTTTGTGCGTATCGGTTAACGAAGGTCTGGCCCAAACGGTCACTACGCAACAGCCCAGGGCCACGGCCTGCCGCGGCCATGGCCGAACACAGCTCCGCTTGTTCCAAAACAAAGGCTCCTACTCCTTGAACTACAGGAAATTCTTCGTCAGCAGTGTATGACCACGGACACATACCTACGGCCTTGAGCCTCTACAAGGCAATACTTCACATTCTTCCTGAACAATGGCATTACTTTGACATTGTTGTTTGCACAATCGCGTGCGAGGATATTAGGGAAAATAATTCAGTTAAAACTATTCTTTTTTATTTACCATAAAAGTCAGACTTCCAGCCAGATCGCGCACAGCGCCCCAGGCTGCAGCGCGGCCGTACCCTTCACCGGCGGGCAAGTCGGTCGCTTCCCCAAGTTTCATCCTCGCAACGGCCACAGTTCTCAAAAGAGCGAAGGGCAATACTAAACAGTCATCTTTTCACTCATGTCCTTCCCCTTGCTGCCAACTTGAAAGTTGAATGATGGCTTTTAGGTCAGTTTATGTCAAAAAACGTCAAGCTACAAACGTGCTTCATCCCTTCAGAAGTTTGTCCTCTGAAAACTTCATTTAGCATAGAGAAGAACCACCATACTTAAGTTTGACAAGCTGTTTCATGATGCAACCTGGAAATGCAAGCATGAAGGCCACGGTCAGAAAGCAGCCAGGGAACACCTAATGACTTGGGGAAAACGAGCAAGCGAGAGGCTGGAGGGAACACAATAAACGCTACAGGAAAAGTGAGACCCCCGTTATTCATTAGCAGCTGAGACAGCTCAAGCCGGATCCAGCTCTGCACGTGTCACAGATCCTTCATTTCTGCAGCCTCGCATTTTGTTGTGCGCCAACGCCAGCACAGCAAGGCTTAAACAGCAGCACTTGAAACTTTATTAGAACGGCAGTGGGGAAACCTGTGCCTAGATCAGCCACAAGAGGTATCGGCTCTCTTTTTAACCCCGCTCCAAAGGGTCGCCAGCAGCAGGTTAAAGTCCAAACGCTGCGCTGTTATCACCCGACAGCTTTCACGTGTTCAGGTCAGACTAAGCATTTCTATTATTTCGGTTTCAAGAACAGGAGCGGCCTTTTAGCAGCATTTCCTCTTGACAACTGAATTTAGGGCCTGCCCGAACCGCAAGCCATGGCCATCCTCCTACTCTGATGGAAACTCTTCCCCAACTGCTGCATGGAGACGCCCTTTCACATTTAGCATCCCCTGCCCTGCGTGACCCAAACACAGCCAGCGTCTCTAGCCAACATCAGACGATACGGAAACACGTACTGCCATCACCACCGGTCCGCAGCGAGAGCAAGTTTGTAAGCAGTACTGAGCCTAGACATTACTTAGTCCTTGTTCCACTGAGATACTCGGTCGCCTTTTCTCACGGCCTTCAAAGCCCCGGCGACGGCAGAAGCCGTGGCGTGGACGCGGGTAAGGAAGCAGGCTGGGGCGCCAAGGGCCGGATCAGGGCTCATCGCACCCAGGCCGGCCTCTGCTACAGAAATATTCCATCACAGGAAACTGATGATTCACATCATCTTGCTTTTTTTGGTCCTAATTAATGCAGTACCACTTTTTCGCACACCAGTTGCCATAAAATAGCATTAACGATGTATCTATTTCAGACCCATAAGGGAACTGGGAAGCTAAAGCAATCTAGTTTCTGAAAAAAATGAGGTTATGCAGACTTATCAGCAGGACATTTCCTTGTCTATATTTAACTTCATAAGGAATGCAGAAACTATGCAAAAAGAATATCACGTGTAACTAATAAAAGCCATTTTGCATTTTTGTAGCAAACACAGACTTCATATCTAATGGCGTGTGAAAGCTGCTAGCAAGTAACTGGCTGACCTCAACCCAAAGCTCCAGGCGGGCAACAAGAAGCCTTCCACAGCGCGGACAGAGTCAAAGGACAGACAAAAAAAAACACTAAAATTGGACAAGAAGTAGTTTTTCTGCTTTCTGTCTCTGGTGTTAGGGCAGCCAAACTGCCCGGATTCCCAGGCTCCCAGTTTGAATCAGGAGTTAGAATTAACTAAGACAAAAAGGAAAATAAGTATACTGCATAAATTCAAGCAAAACTTGAAAAATATCCACGTATTGGCAAACAGAGAGACACAGATGTCTTCTATCCCACTTTCACTCATTTGGAGTAAAGTTAGCTCTGCAGAGGAGACATTCAAGAACCTTCCTCAAGAAATACCTTAATACCCCATGCATTATGCAACTGTGCAAGTGTATTAGAAGAACATAACGGGGGGGG